CTAAGAATAACAGCAATGTGTACTTGTCGCTAGCGTTTCACCATGCATCGCTCGCCATCAACACCAGTTGGCGCCACCACAAAAGTAAAAATAGAGACCGAGTTCATTTTCATCGGTGAATTTACAGCCTGTTTATACCTTCGCACACGTTGCAATTTAATGGTGTAAATATGAAGCACTGTGGTAAGTAATGAACTGTGGTTTTGTGGAGCGCAGCTGTTGTAAGCACCGTGACTTCGTGTGGGGTACATTCTCAAATATAACGGAAAAATATGGTATTCACGTGAAGGCAACATATATATACATATATATATATTATATATATATATATATATATATATATATGATGCAGGTGCAAAAAATAAGAGAAGAGAATAAGAAGAAATAAGAAGAAACTCTTTACTTAAGATTTGTCGACTGTCAGTTTTTTATTGTAAAATGGAAACGCGCAGATCGTCTATTAAACGATAAACCATAAACATCTTATATACCCTGCACCTGCATTTATATACCTTCCAGAAGCAGCGCGGTTTACACAGTATATAAATAACTTTAGCATTTTTAGACAATGTTCACATCTGTATTAATAAATCACGCGAGTACCGAGCTAGCGCTGACAAAATGCGCTACGTGATTTGTTTCGTGCCGTCCGCGATAGAAATTGGTTTAATTTTTAATAAGCAGATAATTTGCGCGTTCCTGCCGTCGAGGTTGCGAACACATCTCTCATCGCCGTCAGCCTAATGGCTCTAGTATAGCAGGCGTTTATGTTTGATCGTTGCTAGCCCGTGAGCCATCTGATGCCCTACCACACCTGTCTATGCAGACCGCTCGCATCTGTTTTATATACTCTAGTCTCTCCCCTGCTATATTATGCGCGAATGGTATCAGTATCAGATATACAGACTTACCCTTCTTGACCTTTAGTATAGTATTTCGTCTTTGCTACTGCTACTGCTATTGCTATTGCTACTGCTACTGCTACTGCTACTGCTACTGCTACTGCTACTGCTACTGCTACTGCTACTGCTACTGCTACTGCTACTGCTACTGCTACTGCTACTGCTACTGCTACTGCTGCGGCTACTGCTACTGCTACTTCTACTGCTACTGCTACTGCTACTGCTATTGCTACTGCTACTGCTACTGCTACTGCTACTGCTACTGCTACTGCTACTGCTACTGCTACTGCTACTGCTACTGCCACTGCTACTGCCACTGCCACTGCCACTGCTACGGCTACTGCTACGGCTACTGCAACTACTGCTACTACTGCTACTGCTACTGCTACTGCTACTGCTACTGCTACTACTGCTACTGCTACTGCTACTGCTACTGCTACTACTGCTACTGCTACTGCTACTGCTACTGCTACTGCCACTAGAACTAACTACATGACTACTACTTACTACTAACTACTACTATACTACTTACACTGGGCTTGACTACTTACTACTGCGCTACTACTACTGACGTACTACTACTACTACTACTAGCTACTGCTACTGCTTCTACTACTACTACTACTACTACTACTACTACTACTACTGCTACTACTGCTACTACTACTACTACTACTACTACTACTACTACTACTACGCCACAACCGCTCCCATGAGCATGGGCAGATAACACGCGACATGCTGCCTACCAATCGCGCCTGCTTTCCGACCCACGCGAATTGCCATTAATCACAGCTAGTATTGAGTTGGTCCTTCACGAAGAGAAAACATAGGACGATAACAGCTCCTCGAGCGTATCACTGCATCAAACACCGTGAGTAGGCTGTTGAAGAAGCCCCTCCGCCGTGAAACGGACACTGGTATACAACGTGGGCACATGAGCTGACGGGATTTACTTGGCACCGCTACAGCTGGTCAAGCAAACGAAATCGGTTTGAGTTTCTGCTCAATTCAATAACAGCGGCGTGTGCGTGTTGACGGGAACGTTGCATCTCAGCGACCCGCGCGCGTGTCTGCTCGAAACCTGATTACCGTGCTTTAATGAGAATGTCTTGCGTCACAACAGATGATGTATAAGTAATGGATATGTCAACGCATTTACTAGTTATTAGTTCTCGGAGAGTTGGCTTCGGCGATGCACGAACGATGACGCGCGAACAGCTGTGTGCGCGCTGAGGCGCGAATATAAGGCCTGACACACACTCGTCGACGTCGTTAATTACTCGACAGATAATAGCAGCTCTGTTCGCAGCTACGTTCACAACCCACGTCGTTGTTTTGCGTTGCGTTGCGTTGCACTGCATCGCATTGCATTGCCTTGAATTAAAATACATTGCATTACATTACATGACATGACATGACATGACGCTACCTTACAATGATTACAATCCATTCCGTTTTTTCTCTCATGACATTACATTACATTTACATTACATTTACATTACATTTACATTACATTACATTACATTACATTACATTACATTACATTACATTACATTACATTACATTACATTACATTTACATTTACATTTACATTTACATTTACATTTACATTTACATTACATTACATTACATTACATTACATTACATTACATTACATTACATTACATTACATTACATTACATTACATTACATTTACATTACATTTACATTACATTTACATTACATTTACATTGCATTACATTACATTACATTACATTGCACTAGGCCGATGTGACATCTAAACATAACTGTGGGGGTCACTATAGCTAGCTAATCAGAGCTTCAGCTAAACGATGACGTCAACCTTTGTGATGGTTTTGAATTCCTCATTGCTTATCATCAATAAAACCGCGCGCGCTCGCCATTTGCCATCATCACATGCGCCTAGTCATGCATGAAGTGCGTGACCCCTTGCATGTAAACATTTGTTTCATTTGACTCTAGCCATATACATGCACGTATTTCGGCACTAATGGCATAGTCCACTCTGCCATTGTTTATGTACACATCCTTGATAATCTGCTGTTATCCCTGTACGCATTTAGCCACATGCCTTCTTAATATTGCCTGCTGCTAGATTGCCTAAACATGTGCAGGTGACAGTCTTTGCAGCGAAGCCAGGAAACGCGATTAGAAGCGAGAAGCCTTGCGCATTAAAACTGACAAAAATCACATTTGTTGGAACTAATAGACCTTCGCCGTTAGGTTCGAGAGAACGACTTCATGGCATTCGCGGATGAATGCTGCGCGTACATGTCCGGCTTACGTCGTCAATAAGAACGTTGTTCATTTCCGTCTGCGTAATATTTATATGGTGCGCGAGAGCGAGCAGCTTATATATTTCTCGCAGCCTTTATGCTTGGAAAATGTTATTTCGTCGGTGGTTGCGCGCGTCAGCGAGCGCGCGGTAACAATGTTCCACCATCGCTGTTAGCAGCGTTTACGTCCTGATTAGTTTAGTTAGATGAAAAGACTTTAATCTGAAACTGCTAGGTGCAGAACCGAATAGAATTCTTAATGAGTTTCTGGATTTATTCCTGGAATTAGTATTCGGATTAGTATTGGATTCGAATTGAGGTACTGTCGATTTTAAAACGAACGCTGCGACGAAATAATTCGACGTTAGGCAAAGCTTAATAAGCCAGTTCGTAGTTAGCCAAGGGGCTGTGTGAGGTCACAGGTCACCGGGTCATCTGTGACAAAAATTGATGAAATCTCGAGTGCGGCGTGCGCTCTCGGTTCAGTACGTATATGTAAACGTATTCTGTGTACATGTACACGCGCGCATGTGTACGTGTACACGCACGCATGTGTACGTGTACACGCACACATGTGTACGTGCACACGCACGCACGCACGCACGCACGTGTACGTGAACACGTACACACGCACGCACCTGTACGTGCACACGCACGCACGTAAACGTACACACGCACGCACGCACGCATGCACGCACGCACGCACGTGTACGTGAACACGCACGCACACACACGTGCACACGCACGCACGCATGTGTACGTGCACACGTACGCACGCACGCATATGTACGTGCACACGTACGCACGCACGCACGTGTACGTGCACACGTACGCACGCACGCACGTGTACGTGCACACGCACGCAGGCACGTGTACGTGCACCCGCACGCACGCTCGCACGTGTACGTGCACCCGCACGCACGCACGAACGAACGTGTACGTGCACACGTAACCTACGTGCACCTCTAACCTACTGTGTGTCTGTGCATGCACAATGGCGTGCGGGCTATGTGTTGCAGCGGTGTATTGGACGGTGTTGAAGTGAAGTTATATCAAACATTAAGACTATTGCTGGTACTGGTACTGGTAGGGCTAGTACTAGTAGTAATACTGACAAGTTGTATTTATTAACCATCATTTTATTATTGAAACGGTCCAAGTGCCTGTGGTAACTACGAACTGCCTTCTTCATTTCGATTCGAGATCACAGCGCTGCCAACGGGGAAATTCATTTCCGAATAAGAAAAAAAACGTAACGAATAAGAAAATCTATCGCGTTGAAAATGTGCAAATGCGAGCAAAGTGTACAGCTCGCAATCGACGAAAGGCGAATATTTAACATTCATCCAAATGTCGATTTTCTAGCGTCTCTCGTGTCGAAACGCCTCGCTATGTCCCGGCCAACGCATGGCCTGCACACGGGAAACACGGTCACCGGCCCGTCGACGGAAATTGGTCTTTTCGATTATGCTCTGTCGGGTCGCTTATTTTCTCTAGCGGTAACAGTAGCGGCGAAGTTCACCGTAGAGCCGTCTCCGGGTGATCAACACTCGTGCCGGCGCGCGTCCTCGAAGCTCGTAAATGTTTATTGACAAAAACGGCGCGGGAACCTGAGCGGGCAGCTGCTACCGATAACTGTTGCTTTTTACGCTGCGCCGCGCGGCTTCTTCTTTAAGCGAAAGCCGAAAGCGAGCGCTGGAATGCTGCAGAATCTATACAGTGTCGCATTGTTATCTTCGGAGAGAAGATGTATCAAATAAATCCTTTTTTCTTGTTTGTGGGTGCAGATGCGAGCGGGGCTCGCTCGCTCTTGGAATGCTTGATCCGTGGCGGATACTCAATCATAATATATCGCCCACATCTGCGCGCCGGCGGATTTCACTCGTGTATTTCAGTTATCCTGTTCGAAAGTGATCCATGCGTAAGCCCAGAAGCGACTCGAGCGCCCACGGCGGTGTAGTGGAGGGAAGGGGTCGGCTCATCGTCGAATCTCGTTTCGCCTTTATTATGTCCGAGCGGAGGTTCTAATAGTGTCGCCATCTATAGCATATCATCAGCTACAATTTTTCATCCCCTATAAGGGTCGCTAATCGTGTACGTAATTGACTTCGTGGCAGGCACGGCATCGCGGGACAACCTAAAGTAAAACCGATGTTCCGCCTACGGTTGCAATCAGGAAATCTACATTGATGACGATACAACACGGGAAGGAAACTATACGTGCTCGGTGTGTAAGTATTTAGTCGGCGCAGAGGAAGGAATTCAAGACTAAGGTGAATAAATGAGGCGACAGCACGGGCTGACTAGCAATGTGGTTGTTAAACCCAAGCTGACGTGATACGCTCTGAATGGCAGACATTGAGGTACAAATTGGTAGAAATTGCCTCCAAATCAGTTGCCTCTGGGGGACGTAGGTTGCCGGTCCGAGTTATACTGCATATATCGCAATACAGTAGCGGCGTACAAACGATGAAAATGTATTTTTTCTGGATCACGCATTCGTTTATTTAGTCTGTTGCGCATCGGTTGATGTTTTTCGATGACTATTTTACGATTATGTTTCATTTTTTTCATTGCTTTTTATAATGTAGAATTTTTCACTGTTAATGTGGGGTGGCATATACGTTTTCGTCATACCGCTTTTCTTCTAACCGTCTATTTTCTCTTTCCACTTCTTGCTTTTCTCAGTATCGGTGACACTCTTCTTTCCCTCATTATTTTCGGCTATTCATCATTACTAGTCGCTGCTTGCAAATGATAACCATACTTTTTTTTATAATGCACCGCTTTTTATTTCCAATCACGAAGCATGTTACTTATGCATCACTTTAGTTCGGTTGAAATCGGTAAATTTATTAATGCCAACGACATCTAATGTTCTTTCAAAAGCAAAAAGGTCCCTTCAGTTACGTTCATATTTAACAAATAATCAGAATAAACTATTGTTCAGTGTTTCCGCAGGAAAACATCATCTAATGCGCACGGAAAAGGAAGTAATAGCAATTAGGCCCACCGCAAATGCTTTAAAGCATTATATCATGCAAGTCTACGCACGCGATCTAGGTTACCCACGTCAGTAAACCAGCCAGAAAATATAACATCGTATAATTATTAACGGGTTACTGAACTCGGCTACATCGTTTCTATATAGGCCGTTCACCGGGCGGGAAAGGGCGCGCGTGATTGTGGGTGGCGTTTGTGCGTGCTGCAAGTGAAGAGAGGCAGGTGGGCAACTTTCAGGTCGGCGTGCTGTTAGACGATGGGCATGCGAAGATCGTAACAGTACCCAGGTAGTAACACCAGCTATAATCCTCGTTCACACGAGACCTCGTATTTATGAATTTAATAGCCTCGTTCACACGTAGCAAGAAATCCGGTATTTAGCGTTCACACGAGGCAAAATGCGCGGTCCAAGAAATACGGTATCTAAACAGATCCGGTATTTGATGTAAATACGCGGCTTCCCAGACCCCGAATAATTTGCCGTGCTTGAGAAATACCGGATATCTTGGACCGCGCATTTCCTCGTGTGAACGCTAAATACCGTATTTCTGAAGCCGCGTATTTTATAGACTGGTCCGCGCTCGTCCAGAAATGCCGTATTTGCGAGCTACGAACTGCTTTAGTAACAATCAAGCAAACAATGCGAAATAAACAATGCAATGCGCACCAACTGCCGATAAAATACGTAGACTGGTCCGCGCTCGACAGTTCC